AAAGAAAGGTTTCAGGCCCGGTCACCCTCCCTTAGGGGGAGTCACAGTGGGTCTCACCCAGCAGATGACCTCATTTTCTGGGAGGGAGGGAATGGATAGAGGGCCCATGTGACAGAATTACCTCCTTGGTGCTAAACAGAAAATCCCTGATTGATTTAAAAGGTCACATTCCTGGAATAGGTTGAAACTAATTAAGTCTTAGTTTGGGAAGCAAATGACTCCATTTGGGCATCTTGTTTCCTTTTTATTTTTTTTTAAACATTCTGTGGGAGGCGACCCCCATTTTGGGAAAACCAGAAGCCCATGCTCATCTTCTGTCGGCCTTACTGAATTTTAGTTCTAGTAGTTGTTTTGAGTTGCTGCATATAGTCATGTCTTCCACAAAAATGAAATTTCATCCCTTTCTGTCTTGTAGCTATACTTTTAATTTGTTTTCATCTTACTGCCAAGCAAAAAAGTTGAGTCTGTTTATTCTTTTTCAACATCAGTAATGAATATGTATCCTTTCACTTTGTCTGTATGAGATGAGAGATTTACTTATATTTTACTTTTTTCCTTCCCTGCCACTAAGATTTTATGATATAGTCTGGGTGTTTTAAATCTCCATTTCTATATTACTACCCATAATTTTCTTTTTTTTATATGATGTCTTTACTACCTATGACTTCTTGACCTTTCCCTCACTGCATCTACTCTAGCCATAGTGACATTTTTTGCTTTTCCATCACAAAAAGGGAGAGATACTTTTTTTCCTGGGAGAAGCTTGTCTTAGGCCTTTGCACCTTAAAATGTCTTAATTCAGATGTCACATTCTCATTAAGACCTTCCCTTACCAACCCACTGAAGTTGTAATCCATACCCCTATGGAGTCCCCCTATTCTCTTCCCTACTCAGTTTTCTTTTCATGGCACTATTGTTACCAGGAAATCCAATCCAGTAGGTCTCCCTGCAGGCTAGGTGAGACCTCAACCTACGAAAGGGTTCTTGACTGACTGAGAAAGAATTCATGAGCAGGTCAAGCAGATGCAAGCAGAGAGAAGTACACACCCAAGGAGGGGATGAGGGCATGCTCGAGAGGTGAGCAGCCATTTTTTAAAGTGAAAACAAGTACACACTCGAGAAGGGAGTACGGACACACTCAAGAGGTGAGCGGCACAGTGAGGTTGGGGTTGGGTGGTCTTAGAGCTGGAGTTAAGCAAAGGGTGGAATATTCATAAGGATGGGTGGGGTTTTCCTGGAATAGAGAGGGGATTTCAGGGAAAAGGAGGTATGCCTCCTTTTTGTCCTGATATGGTCAGGCTCGGAACTGTCGTGCCAAGGAGTGTGTTTTTCAGTATGCTAATGAGCATAAAATGATCTTTGGGGTAGCTATAGGTTACCTAATCTGCTTGCTTTGCACTGGTTAGAAATTTCATTCTGTTTCCCATCAGTTATTTTTCCTTCTAGCTGGTTTGTTTTCACTTAACACATTCTGCCCACAGGCCACACAACCTGGCCTCAAGCTTTATTTGACTTGCCCAAGGCCTGGCTGTTTTCCTGAACTACACTGCCTGTTTCACTGTGATTACCTAATATACTGTGTTATCTATTAACTGGTTTATTGTCTTACTTCTCTTTCTTAGAATGTAAGTTCCGTGAAGGCAGGAATCTTTCTGTTTTTTCACTGTTTTATTTACAGTGCCCAGAACAGAGCCTGGCACATATAGTACTCAATAAGTGATGCCAGGGTTCTTGTTTGCAGAGTCAAAGAATGAACTTAGCCAACACTCAAGGTAGGAGAGCCAGGGAGAGGCTTTTATTTAGAGATACAGTGAGAGGACAGAGCTCCTGGCTCATGCCAGGAGGTGACAAGAGAGCCCATGGTGGTGCATTGTCCAGGGGATTTATAGTCGGTTGAGGATTTTCATAAATGTGGGTAAAGGGCTAGGATTGCAGACTTCTACCACCTGCCCTCCCCACAAGGTGGGCTGGGTTGTGTTTGCTAGGGCTGTTTGCAGTGAGGTCATGGGTTATGCTGGGATACCTTCTTTATTTGCAGAACACTCAAACATTCCAGGCCAAGTTGCTCCTGGCTTTTTGAGCTTTAACTGATCTCACTGAAGATGTCTATATTCCTAGTCTGGTATCTTTACCCTAGAGAATTAGTGTGACCTTGACTTTGCATAATGCTTAACACAGTTTCGAAAGGGACTTCTTTGCACATTGTTCCATTGCTCTGACTGTCAATATCCTTCCTTGCTTCTTCCGGAGGCCCTCACCCTACTCTGACTGCACCCACGGCCCCTGTCTCATTAGTATTTATATAAATAACTCATTTTCATGTACTTAGCATTTTCCTTCTTCAAGTTGGGCTACCAGGCCAAAGGCTGAATTTTTTTTTTTCCTTCTTGGTAACTTTTGTCATATAACTGACTTTTTTGTTTGCTTTCTTGCTTATTTTTTTGTACCAGGTAGTACTTTTCATGTTGTTTAAAATGTAAACAGTGTAAAGGGTGTTGAAAATACTCCTCCCACTTCCTTATTCAAGCACCCAATTCTTCTCCTCAGAAGCAACTAGTTTTGTCAGTATCTTGACATTTCTTGCAGCCATGTTACCATGTGACTTCCTGAAGAGTTGATACCAAGTTACACTATAGGACAGAGTATTTCACAATTATGTCTTCCCAGAACAGTTCCTGTTTCCCTTTCTATCACTGCTCAACCCTCCTCAGTAGCCAGTGTCAGCTGTATTTTAGTGAATGTTACTATGGTGCTAGCTGCTGAGGGAGTGAGATAAGGAAATACCGTTTTGCCCATGCTCCTGAAGTTCAAAATCTAGTGAGATGGAAATATACCCACTTATAAAGTAACACAGGGTTTAAAAAGATCAAGATGATACATATGTCACAAAACATTGAGCAATTAATTACTGAATGATATATAGATAACAAATACCATGAAAATTAGTTCATCAAATCAGAGGGTGAGTACATCTGTTAGGGAAAGCTTCCCAGAGAAGGAAGAATATGTTGGCTTTAGATAATCTAAGAAGAGTGTAGAAGGCAAGGAGTACTCTGTGGGCACTAGCAAACAGCGTGTACAGGAGAGCCTGTTACCTCTTGCAGAGAAAAGCCTATGTACACCTTAAACAAAATCAGTGAGAGCATTTGTATTAAGAAGTATGAATTCATTGGAGATTCAGAGGAAAATATAGGAATTTGGGAGAAATCAAGAAAAATTATATAGGGAATTATGTTCAAGATGGAACTTGAAAGATAAATAGGATTTTTAATAGGGTCACAAAAGGGTGACATGGCAGAAGACTCTAGTACAGGGGTTGATGAACGACAGCGCTCAGGCTGACCACCCACTTTTTGACTACAGTGCTCCTGGAGTACAGCCACGCCCCTTCTTCGTGTATTGTCTGTGGCTGCTTTCACACTTTAGTGGAAAAGTTGCACAGCTGAGAACAGGTGGTCTTCAAAGTCTAAAATATTTGCTGTCTGGCTCTTCACAGAATGACTTGCAAGTAGAGAAGATGTATGTGGGAAGGCATTATAGATAACTATTGGTAACATTAAAGAAATGAAAATGAGATATTTACTGTAGTTGGAAGAAGTCACTATAGAAGTGTGGGTGGTTGAAGAGGAGGTTTTGAAGCCTTGAAGGCTATAACAGGAAACCATTGTTCATAGAGGAAGTGAGAGGCCATTCCAGGCTGGGTAACAGTTCAGTAAGGCACAAATGTGGCTTGTTCCTAGAATTAGGAGAAGCGCAAGTTGCAGTGCTCCAAAATCTTGTGACTATAGACTATCTACTGTTAAAAGAACATATGGAATGTGAACAGTTCCCAGGAATGTGTTGTTTTAATTTGTCTGATTTTTCTCAAACTATTCAAATTCAGTTAGGTAATATCCATCATATCATTGATAAGTTTTC